CGATGCCAAAACGAGTTCTGTGGTTCAAATGGTTCTTGAGAAACCTCGAAAAAAGCAGCGTCATGTTCAAGTGGATTTTGCAAACAAAAAAAAACCACGCAAATCTAAAACTTCTTGAATTCAAACATTTTTTGCGAAAACTGCAACATTTCCCTATCGATGGTTCACTTTCTAAAAAGGCCATTTAGTTCTCTTTGGAATGATGTAAAAACCAGCGTTCTTGCTCATTTTGCTTCCGAGAAACATGCAAAACGGGACGGAAAACATGAAATTTGTAAAAAAATTTATTTTTTCTACATAACCCTCCCCTGAATTTAAAGCTGAAATCTAATAAAACTGTTCAACCACTTTCAAATTGCCTCAAAGTTTGAGTTTTATTTATTCAAATGCTTTGCATATGTTAAATGCACCAGAAATCACTTGTACTCAAATCCTAAAAAGGCGAGAAAGACAGATTGAATTTATAAAAAATGGAGTCAGAAACACAGATAGATAAACCTTCTTTTTTTTAGTTTTGGACTTTCACAGCCCTCCAGTACATACAGAAATAGAGGCATGATTTTCTGAGCTGAGTAAACACTAGTTAAAGTAAAACTTGTAGCAAAAGTTGAATGATTCATAATCATTTCTCTATATTGTTGATTTTATGCAAGTTTATGATATTTTGAAAAACAATAATTCATATAAAAACTGACGTTAATAAAACAATTATTCCAGCCACTAAAGCCCCATAAATGTTTAGAAATTCTTGCTAAACTCGGAATTAATTAATCAATGTGCAAAGCCTTGATTGCCTCTATCGACGTGCAACACTAAGAAAAGAAAAATGCATCTAAACAAAGTAGAAGAGAAACAAGCTTGAATTAACAAACAATTAAAACTAATCAAAACAATAAATATTTTACGGTGGTGTAATGGTTGTAATGCGTGCTCTTCTTCTTTACCACCGATTCTAGAGAACTTGGGATTCTTCTTGTGCTTGTGAAACGTCGGGAAGAAATTCTACCGAACAACGGCCTAAAAACCCGAAAAACCCATTAGTTTCAAGGAATGGCCTCGAAAGTCTATCTCTTTTGATAATCGCTTGATTCCTTCCAAAGTGTGACTCAGATGGCCCTCATATCATGGCACGGTAATTTCTTGAGTGCTTTAATCGACATTTCGCTTGTGTTAGGGGTRGGAKTCTGAAGCTSARGCCCCAATGTTCTGCAGAACCATTCAATTGCCATGTACTTASTTAAGTTGCAAGCCTGCCGAATGCGCGATAATGAAGAAACGAGCGATAAGCAATTTAATGATTAAGCTGCAACGACGCCCATCTTCTTCATCAGGAGATTAATAGATATATTAATTAAAACCGGGCGTTTTTTTGCTCCTAACGAAATTTGCAAGTTTTCAGCCCGTCCCTTGAGCCATCGCGTCTCAAGAGAATCTGTTCTTGTACATTGGGCTCGGGTCGTGCTCCTTATTTATGCGCATTGTAATCGCCCCGATGTGATTTATATTTGAATATATTTAATGGCATTTAACAATGTCTAGGTCTCTCAGCAAGCCCCAGAAGAATTCACGAGCGTCTCCTAATCGTGAGCGGCCAGTTTTTTCCTTTTTCCCTGCCATTAAAGCGATGTTACTGGTGGATGTCCACTAGCGACTCCAAAAGCGTTTGGAGCTCGTTTGTCCATGTTTCGATTTGATAAAAGCACTTGAACCGATTAATTTATTTTGCAGATGACTGTCGAAAAGAGGATGGCACGGAATGTCAGAACGGAGCATGTCTTGACAATCAGTGCTACTGCAACGACGGTTATGGAGGATGTAGCTGTGAAGTTCCTGGTGAGTATCGCGTGCCTGCTACTTGTTATAATAATTGCTATAACTCTAAAATGCAACCGGCTAATTAAAACTAACGGATCGCAATTGCATATGGGAACTTTCAGTTCCACCAAACCCCAGGCTCAACCTAATTAGGTGTCTGTTAGGTTGAAAGAACTGCCCACAGAATAGGTGATTATTTAAGCGGCAGGAATATGCAGCTGGACGGTTTTGGAGCAAGACTTGCTGAAGGGTGCAACTCTTCCGGAATGATTGCAAAAACTATAAATTGTTAGGGCCTTCAACAGTTTCTTCCAGTCCAAAGACGAACTTAAGGAAGGGCAAATTTGCAGAAAATTTAGTAGCTCAAGTGCACACGCGTCTATTCAGAAACTATTAACATGTGCTTGAAAATTCGTATCTCTGGAGCTAATTGAGGTAGACACTTTCAGGGAGTTGCACTAAAAAGGGCAAAACTGCTTTTATGAGTCGTGAAAGGTTCAATTGACCAGCACCTTCAGGGACTTATTAGGGAATTTTCAAACTTGATGAAGTTTTCATCACTAAAACATGATCGAATTAGGTTTGAAAAGTCGTATTTCAATTCAAAACGAGGGTGGAAATTGCGAAAACTTTTATTGAAAAGAGCGAAATTTCTGTAATAAATTGCGAAACTTTCAATTAATCACCATGATTGGAGGTTTGCAAGGACATTTTTGAAATTGAGTATTTTTACGGGTGAATTAGTTGAAATTGTGTATGTCAACAGCAAAACTAGCATGAGATTTTAGAAGCACCGTGTTGAAGATACGAAAGTTTTGCTACTAAAACGTGAAGCTTTCAGTTTTTCGCCATCATCAGGGATGTCCAAAAATTGGTAAATTGTTTATGAGTAATTGAAGTAAAGGGTAAGAGAAGGAATTCAGCCTAGACTGTGCAGAGAACTTTGTTAGAACAATCAGACTATTTTCTATGATTCGCGAAAGTTTACTTTCGTTACCCTGATCGGAAGATTTAAAACCAATTTTTAAATTTGATTGAGGTTTCTCGAGTAAAAATGTAATGACTTATTTTCGACCGTTCTTCTTTCAGGCACAAGTTCTGATGGAGATTTAAAAAAAATTGAGTTGTGATTATCAAAGTTTCCAAAGTAAGCGTAAAAACATTCAAATCGCCACCATCATCAGGAATGTTAGGAGAATTTTTCAAAATTGGCGATTATTTTCGAGCAACTGAGTTTTTCAGTTATGTTTGAAAATCCGTATATCAAGCAAAATTGGGCAGGAAACTGGTGGGACAAACCATGTAAATAGACAGAGACTTTTTCACATATTCGAATACTTTGCCTAATTTTTGGCTGTTCAAAGTTGACACTTTGTCGCATGGATGGTTGAAAAATCGTCCATACAACACAAACCAACCTGCGTTTTTCATAAGCCTCCCATTAGAAACAGCAATGTCTTTTTAATAAACGCTGATAGTTTCATTTTTCTGTCATCATCAGACATTTCCGAAAAAATTGTCGAAACTGACCAACTTTTTAACATAAACTTTTTCATCAGAAAGTGTCAATGTGTGTCTAAAAATTTGAATCTCAAAAGCAAATTCACGCTCAAATCTTCCGAATATTGCGCTCAAAAGAGAAAACTAGCTTTTCCGAATGCTGAAAGTTTCAATTGGCCACSATTATCAGCAACTTGAAAMAGAATTTTCGMAAGTGAATGTWTTCGAAAATGTGTATGTCAACCACAAAATGAACTCGAAATTTTTGAAAATTYGTATATACAACACAAACCAGGCTGAGTCTTTCGTAAGRCTCTTATKAGAAACAGCAATGTCTCTTTAGTAAACGCTGAAAGWTTCATTTTTTTGYCATCATCAGACATYTSGGAAAAAATTGTCGAAACTGACCAATTTTTTTACATAAACTTTTTGTTCAGAAACTGTCTAAAAATTTGTATCTCAAAAGCAAATTTACGTTCAAATCTTCCGAATCTTGTGCTCAAAAGAAAAAACTAGCTTTTCCGAATGCTGAAAGTTTCAATTGGCCACCATCATCAGCAACTTGAATTTTTGAAAGTGAATGTATTCGAAAGTGTGTATGTCAACCACAAAATTATCTCGAAATTTTGGAAAAATAGTGGGGAAAGTAGAAAATTTGCTCTACTAAAACGTGAAAGTTTCAGTTTTTCATCCCAATCAGGAATTTCCAAGGAAGTTTTCGGAATTGGTTATTTTTTTATGAATAATGAAAGCAATGACTTCTTTGAACCTTTACATCTGAAGCACGAATTGGGTCTCAGCTTCAAGGCTCTTGGTTTGAACGAGCAAAGTCCATTTTGCAAACCCTAAAAGTTTCACTTTGATTTGGATTTTGTATAATTTTTTCGAGTAAAATCCGAAATAAAATAATCGAAATCCATCATTTAAGAAAATTGCTTTCAAATAGCATGATTTTTGAAGTAGGCTTGCAAAAACGCAATTATTAGTCACGATCATCAGGAGTTCAAAAAAATTTCGAAAGTTTCTGTTTTTTCACGAATCAGTGTCATTTTTGAAAAATCGCATCTCAACCAAAAATTCAAGTGGAAACTGGTGGGACATATCGCAAAAAAGTGGGTTCAGTCTATTTCATATTCTCCGAAAGTTTCGAATTGGGGATTCATCATCAGGGATTTCAGAACTAATTTTCAAAGTTGCGTAACTGTCTTGGAAAATTTGAATCTTTAGTGCAAATTTTCAGAGAATTGGACTGAAAACTGCAAGTACTTTTCCGTCATCAGCGCCTTGAAAGAGGATTTTGAAAAATCGCGATTTTTCACCACATTAAACTATCAAGGTTTTCAAAAGCAAATTTTGAAATTATTGCATTTTGGAGATAAATTTGCTGCAAAATTAATGGGTTTCGCATACAAGAATGGAGCCACATATTTGAAAATAATTTCCTAAGAAACGCCTTTGTCACTGTTATAAATGGTAAAAGTTTCAGTGTTCTACCATCATCAGTTATTGCAGAGAAAGTGTTCGAAAGTGCCAAATCTTTTTAGCAGAGCGCGTTTGTTCAGGATGTGTCGATGTGTGTTTCAAAGTTCGCATCTCGAACGTAAAATGAGCTAAAAATTGTCCAAGACTTACACTAAAAAGAGCAAAGTTGATTATACGATTTCTGCAAGTTTCAATTGCCCACAATCATCAGGCACTTCAGAAGACATTTATCAAACAGGGCAATTTTTGAGCAGTAAATGTTTTTAGAGTCTTTTTTCATAGTTTCTGAAAAATTGGTCAGCTATTCCCAATTATCAGGTACATCAGAGGATTTTCAATTTTTCTTCAAATTACCAATACTTTATCCAAAGAGACAGACTTGCGAGGCCATTCCTTGAAACTAATGGGTTTCTCGGGTTTTTAGGCCATCGTTCGGTAGAATTTCTTCTTGACGTTTCGCAAGCACGAGTGGCTTGCATCTTCAGAAGTGGTTTGCTTGCAAAAAGAATACCGAATGATGGCCTAAAACCCCGAAAAACCCATTAGTTACCAATACTTGTTTTAATTTCTACATACATCGAAAACAAAACTCTGTGTCAAGTCCAGATGTATTCAAATGTTCACATTTAGTCGAAATACCAAAAGTAGACTGTTGTTGGTCGCAAATGTTCTCTGGAAGACTGGTTCAAAACTGAGCAACTTGCAAGACAAATTTAAAAAATCTTCCGAAAGTTTCAATCTTTGAAAGGCAAAAACCAAGTTGCAGCCTCATTTCAAAGCCCAGCAGAGCACATGCAAAAAAATCAAACTCCTGCCCCAAACATCTATTTCTAGTATCATTAACTGCTAGTTTCCCTGCCAATCTCACACGACTATCTACAATAGATAAGTTAAATCGGTTGTCAAGAGGGCCTATTAGTAGTCATATTACTTGCATGTCATTGATGGCAAAACTATCTTGGGATCTCCGATTCGGAATGCCGAGATCGATCGGATAGCAGGATCTATTTGCCAGCCAGCACCGTGAAAATGCTCTTAAGCCGGATAATGATGCAAACAATAAACTGCGTCCATCATTGGCCAACTGTGTGAAAAAATTCCGTGTGAAATATGGGCTTGATGTTGTTCAAGCGACTTTTGATGGACGGCCTTAGTGCGGAAAGCGGCCCATGAAAAAGCGCAAAAGAACCGGTGGATGGCCTTTCCAAGGCCACCATTCTAATTTACACCCTCGTTTCGTGGTTTTACTGCGAATAGCATTACAACATTCCACCGCAACATTGGGTGCTTTTTTGATTGCGAACAGCAATGCTCGATTATTTCTACACAGCAGGACGGCCGTAATCATATATGCTGTTGATCAGATTTTATTAGATCAGCGGGAGCTGAGGCTGAAGACCACCTAGATGGATGGCTAATTACGGAGGTTGCTTCAAGTATCAAGATTTCGCAGCTCAGCGGCATTATCATCTTCATTAATTAATGGGAATTTCGTGGTTGAGACTATTTTGAGACTAGAGAATATTTTGGTTGGTGCGTTTTGACCAATTAAAATCCGGCAGTTTCATCAAGTT